ATAGAGAAACAGGGAATCTTCCACCTTAAGCAATGAGAAAACAGGACAAAAATATAGGAAAGAATTGTTTTCAGACATTGAACAATAGGCAGCACAGGAGTGTGCAACCTAAGAAAAGGAAACAATGTGAACTCTACTATCGTTCCACCTTACTCCCTGAAGGCAGTTTCCAGTTCTCGGAGAAGACGAGGAAACCCAGACTGAGCCCTGTGGTCTTGCTGGGTTTAAGAGGCAGAAGTTGGAATTCAGGGCAGCCAAGACAGGTAGAATTTCCATAGCAAAGTGCCAGAGAGGAGGGAGCGCCACAGATAGAAGTTTCCAGAGATCAGTGGAGGATTTCCCACAGATCTTTAGCTGAGTACCAATCTGTACGTGCAAGAGAAAATAGTGCCTTTGACCAAATAAAGAAGCAGCAGAAAGCAGAAGGCCCATTTTCCATTCCGACAGGGCCATAAACTGTGCCTGTCCCAACCAACCAGGGTGAGAAGACTCATAATACTCGAAACAAGAGGAGGTATCTTCAGGTTATACTGCTTTTGTTGCCAGGCCAAATTAGCCCTAGTTTAAAGGCTGTTCTGGATCTGCCTAATAAAGCTTAAAACTCAGCCTCAGGGCACCTGGGTGGCTCAGTCGGGTGAGCCTCAAGTTCATCTCAGGTCAGGATCTCATAGTTGGATCCCCGCATCTGTGCGACAGCTCAGAGCCTGGAGCCTACTTTGGATTCTGCCTCATTCTCTCTCTGCCCCCCTCCCCCATCTCTCTCTCTCTCTCTCTCTCTCTCTCTCTCTCTCAAAAATAAATAATAAAAGCAAAACAAACAAAAAAACCAAAAAAACTCGGCCTCAAAGGAATCTGGTTCCTAAGACTTAACTGTGAGCCAGGACAAAATACAACACTGTTTATAGAAATGCCAAAACATTTAGCACTCAAAAACAAAAGCACAATATCCAGTATCAATACTCACCACACAGGAAAAGAAGCATACATGAGAGATAATAGAATTAGCAAACACAAGTGTGATGAGGAGAGAAATGAGGTTTGTTTTTTTTTAATGGAACACTTAGAGATGAAAAGTTGAGTACCTGAAATAAAATATATACACTGGGTATGATTAACAGCAAATTAGGAGCTGCATGGGGGAGGCGGAGCGCATTTGAAGACAAGCAAAAGCAACTATCCAAAATGAAGCACGGAGAAAAAAAAAAACTGGAGATGGGGGGAGGGAAGAAAGGTATCACTGACCTCTGGGATAACATCAAGTTGTCATAATATGTGTGTGATCAAAATCTAGACGAAAGCCAAGAGTACAGAGGAAAGAAAAATCCTTGAAGAAATAATGGCTAAACATCTCCCAAAGTTGGTAAATTCTACTTAGTTTTAAATTCACAGTATCTCTGATAATTCTATTCTCCAATGATTGATAAACCTAACACTTGACTTGGGGAGACAAAAAGCCAAAAATTCAAAGCTAGCACTGAGAAATTCAACACAATGTCTTAACTGTGTTATCAAGGGGGAAAAAAGAGAGAGAGAGAGAGAAAGAAAATAATTAACAGCCATAAGAAGTGAATTAAGGTTGAAATGTCATGTGGTACTTTAGCCTGAATTCTGAATTTCCTTGTTCTCATCGATCTAAATCAGGCCCTAATGATATTTAAATGAAGCTACTTGTAATTCCCATAATAGGCAAACAGAAGGGAGGTTAAAATAATTCTATTATTTCACAATGATGAAACAGATTGAATATTTCAATTATTCTACTTATTATAGTACACATAGAACAATGCACTGTAATCTGCTTCGATATATATAGGCTCTTTAACCACACCACAGTGGGACTAATACACTCCATTTGGTTGAGCTTCACTCGCTGATTCAGTGTTGGAATAAAGTACTTCACAGATTAGCTTAGTCTGCAGCACTTAAAGGTCAGGATTTATTGTAATGTAAATCACAAAGCAATTTTATCTTGACAGAGATTACATACTGTTACAATATTTCTCGCTGAATCTAGTGATGCGTTTGCTTTTTCTTTGCAACTGCTGTGCAAATTGGACCGTAGCCCAGAAAAGAAAAAGAGATGGCAGGCTGCTTTGGCTTTTTAGAAACAACTTAATTCTCTTCATTTTTCAAAGTTCCACAAGAAAAAAAAAATCTCTGAAAATACACATAAAATCATACATAAATACTTGTAAACCTTTACAAACCCTAAGCTCAAGTGCACACAGATATCTGTGAATGATCATCTATCAAATATTTCTATGTGTTTTAGGAAAAAGTATAATTGCTAAGGACTAACCTCTAATCATTCATACTCAGGTGTCTTGATACATTAGCTAAATTGTCTCCATTTTACAAACAGAATAAGAAGCATTCAAGTCTGATGAAAGGCATCACAAATAAAAAGAAAACAAAGTATAAACAACTTTGGTGAAGATTAGGAAGTCCACTGCTGTCAGTGGTCTTTGTAACAAATATTGAGTGGCAGAGTGGCAACACCTTCCCAATTTTTCTTTCTTTGGAGACTGCACTTAAACTAGAAACGGATTGGGACTAGAAATCAGAAATTCCTTTTTGATTACCAGGGAATTAAATGAGCTTTCCACTTAATTTGAGGAGTTTGAGGCGTCTTTATTCCTGAAATTCTCAAGACAAGACAAACTACTTTCCACCCTAAATTATGTCTCTCAAAAAATAAACACAAATAAAACGTCCCCACAAAGTTTAAAACAGTGTATGTATTAAATTTTGCCAAGTTTTATCAATTCTTCATTCATGGTTTACATGAATAATGTATAAAAATGGTGTGGTAAAGCCCCAGACTCACCAGAAAATGTATATCCATGGTTAGGAGCTCCTGGGTGGCTCAGTGTCTGACTTCGGCTCAGGTCATGATCTCGCGGTTTCTGAGTTTGAGTCTCGCGTCAGGCTCTGTTCTGACAGCTCAGAGCCTGGAACCTGCTTCAGATTCTGTGTCTTCGTCTCTCTCTGCTCCTCCCTCTCCCCCACTTGTGTTCTGTCTCTCTCTCAAAAATAAATAAACATTAAAAAAAATTTTTTTAAAGAAAAAGAAAATGTATCCATGGCTAATATTCAGCTGTGATTACTCTATTTCTATTCCCCTCACCTGGGCCACAATTGGGTATTTACCTCAGCTCCAACTCTTACAAAGCACCTTTCCTGGAATGAAAGGTGATATAATACTGTTTATCCAAATCCTGAGAAGCTTGTTCTTTCATGCTACTGGCTGTACCCTGTCAAGGAAGGCTTTCCCACCTATCAGTCATTCCGGGTCAAACTTCCTGTATCTGTAATCCAATTTTAGTTTGATTCGTTTTCCTTAAATCAATTCAAATGTTGGTCTACATGAACTTATTTTTAAAAATTTACTTCCAAAATTATAGATTTGACTTGATAGTTTAGAAAAAAATAATGTTTGCTGTATACTACTTGAAACAGTCTCATGTGCCAGCTGTTGTCTATGTGGCACATTTGGGGAAATACAAGCTATACAAAGAGTTATGAAAATAGGAGTGAAGTTCAACTTGTATGTGGGCAATAAATGATGTCTTCTTATTCATAAAATACAGGAACCCGTCTCCATAATTACATGTGCAATTAGGCGCAGGCACTTGCCATCTGAAAGTTCTCTCTATACAGACCAATCACACATCCCGATTTGCTTGGGACAGTCCCGGTTTATACCTCTTGTTGTCCTGAGGCTCCCTCTTTCACTCTCAAAAATGTCCTGGTTTGCATCATACCCAAAAGGCTGGAGCTAATCATCCCCAGAAAACCAGAAGGTCAAAGATACTTCTCATTGACCACACACTCTTGTCTTCTACAGACAGCCCTTCAGCTCTTCCATACATGTTCTTTTAATCTTCATAACAACCCTGGGAGTTAGTAGTATGTATAAATTACACATGCCGGGGGCGCCTGGGTGGCGCAGTCGGTTAAGCGTCCGACTTCAGCCAGGTCACGATCTCGCGGTCCGTGAGTTCGAGCCCGCGTCAGGCTCTGGGCTGATGGCTCAGAGCCTGGAGCCTGTTTCCGATTCTGTGTCTCCCTCTCTCTCTGCTCCTCCCCCGTTCATGCTCTGTCTCTCTCTGTCCCAAAAATAAATAAACGTTGAAAAAAAAATTAAAAATAAATAAATAAAAATAAATAAATTACACATGCGGGAACAGGCTCAGGAAGGCTTAACGACTCAATGTTCATACAGTTATTACGTGACGCAACTAGGATTCACATCCAGATCTCTGCTCCACGTGAAGGGATCCCTTCTAGGGGATTAGGAGGTGTGGGGGTGAGGGAAGGAAAAGTGTGGGTTTGAGAGGCAGAAATATCCTGAGAAAAGCCCCATTCCCTTTCATACTTGATTTGAAGAGATTAGAGCAAGAAACAGGTCTGTAATATTGCCACTTCCCATTTCAAAAGAATTCATATTCCCTTAAAGCTATATTATCTGCACTGGTTAGATTGCCAGGATTATAGTGTTTGCTTCGGCAGCACATATACTAAAAAAAGAGAGAGAGAGAGAAAGGGAGAGAGACAGACTGCCAGGATTATAATCAACAGGCCTTGTGAATTAAATGGACAGCTGTGTTCTGCCCTGAAAATCTAACCAAACTCTTAATTACAAGTGAAATTTTATAACTCAGTCTTCTTTTTGATGCTGAAAGGAAAAGAAAGAGGGGAAAAGGAGGCACCCCTGTGGGGAGAAAGGAAGAAAAGGGAAGGACGGGTAACGAAACAGCCTGCCTTTTCTGCCCCACCCTCCTTCCCTCCGGCACCACTGCTCCCTGCCAAACACATCTACCCTCCCAGCTCGCGTGCGGGAGGGCCGAAAGCTTTACATGACACCACTGGTTTACACCCTGAGGAACGGCGCGTGAGCTGCAAATACACTTTGAAGCAACTTTCTAAAAGGCACATCTATATTTACCAATGTGTTCCACATGATTAAACTGTGAAATTTGTCTCCAGTTTGGCAATACCTTTGAGAGATGTTGTGAGGTTTAGAAAGAAAATGCCTGCGAAGTGCCTTAAGTTTCATGAAAGGAAAGCACCGTACACATCCAAAGGTGCTACTCCACGCCTTGGCGCTGTATTGGTGCAACAGCAAATAAAATAGCCTAAGTTATGATGTCACAATGTTGTCATGCAACATCATACACAGTGAGAGCAAGAAAAAATCTGTTTGTAGGATGCCTCTTTTCCCCTCCTCTTCTGCATGTTAAAGCATATGGTATCCCAAACTAGTTCACAGTGAACTTCATTTCTGCCACTGCTGTAAATGAAGTTTCTTCTCAGGCAGATGTCAGTGCTAAAACTTTGGTGTTCATAAATACCAAATTTACATAAAATCTATACAGCTTTTTTTTTTTTTTTTCAAAAATCTTTCTTGGTTGGTGTAGGCTGATTGGCTAGGATACATAGGTCACTTATTTCTTTCTGAAATGATTATACATTTCCAAATTCACTAATTTGAAAAACAATAATTATGAGGGGGGCACAATGACATTCCTTGAGGTCTCTGGCTATAAATGTCACGTGCCAGGTTGAAAGAAAGACAAAAAATTAGTAAGTTAACTGAGATATTCTTGGATTGTCAATTTAGGCTTATGGTTCCAAACTACTGGTCACCATTTATTGCAAAAAGCATCATTTGTAGATAGAATAGGAAATGACTCTCATAGGTACTTTATTTCCTGAAAACATCACCAAAATAACCTTTTCATAAAGCAAACTTGAGTTTATTGCTCGCCACAGTAAGTGAGACCACTACTTTGACAAGAATCTTGGTGGAGTTTCAGAAGAGGTAAAATAAAGACCAGATATGTATAAGATATGGGAAGTTTGGTTTAAGATGGATCTTTTGGTGTGAGAAGAGGGGTTTCATTATGATTGGGCAAATCTACGATCTAATAGTTTAAGATTGGTAGACACAAAATGGGGAGGTTTAAAAAGAAAGGGCTTCAAAGCAATTTTGAGGAGTAAACCGTAAAATCAGTTTGATGAAGAGAGTGGAATAATAAAGTCACATTAATGAAGCATCTGAATTTTTTTATTTGTTTCATTTATTTATTATTTAATTTACATCCAAATTAGCATACGGTGCAATAATGATTTCAGGAGTAGAGTCCTTAATGCCCCTTACCCATTTATGAAGCATCTGAATTTTAAAGTCATGGTAATGTAAACCATAAGCTGTTACAGGTATAGATGGTCTTGGTTTTCAACACCTTAATCACTAGTGTTGTTGAAATTCTACTGGAAAAGCCCAGACACCAAGAGCAGCTCCTTTTCTGAATAAAGGACGCACTTTAAACCACCAAAGCAGGCAAAGGCTTCCTCTCAGATACCATCTTCCTTTACCTTGTTTCATTGCTGATGACATTCTGATGGAACCATTTTTTCTTAAAGAGGTTCCTTCCTTCTAGAAGATCACAGTCAATTCTGGTTTTAGGGATTATTCCTTTCTTTTGCATGACCTAGTAGAACTCTGTGTATACGATATAGTTTAACACTTTGAGGATAAAACAGAAGTTCTTTGGCAACCCCTCATTGTTCTTGCTGTAATAAAAATCCTGATCATACCTTTATTCTGTTTAAAACTTTTTAGTAAGTCTTTGTCCTCTAGATGATATTTAAGCTTCTCAACATGCCTCTCGAACCATATTTCTCTCTGCTCCTCTCTCATTGCACCACATCTATGAGCACATACTTGAATTCTATATGCCAATTGCATTAAACTACTTGCAATTTCAGAATATACCTGGCTGTCTTCCCTCACTGGAAGGGCTTCTCCATGTAGAGCTGTGTCTATTTCATAATTGTCCATTTATTTGCTAACATGTTCCTCTCTGTCAGTAAGCAACTTGAGGGCAAGTACTATGTCTTACCATATAGTCTGGGAAATAGAGGCCACTCAAGATATTTTTTCAATAGGTAGTCAGTGAATGGATAGAGCAAATTTTATGATTCTGACCAAAAAAAAAAAAAAATCATAAAATGACAAGATCTCAAAAAATCATCTGATAGATCCTAAACAATGAAGAGGAATTCTTTTGTATAATTTTATTATTTTTTAATGTTTATTTATTTATGTTTGAAAGAGAGAGAGTGTGTGAGCAAGGGAGGGGCAGAGAGAGAGGGGGAGAGAGTAAATCCCAAGCAGGCTCCACACTGTCAGCACAGAACCCAAAACGGGGCTTGAATTCACAAACTGAGATCATGACCTGAGCTGAAGTTAGTCCCTCAAATGACTGAGCCACTCAGGTGCCTTGAGGAATGCTTAAAGTGTTAGTTCCAAATCAACAGTAAATTTTAAGAGAGTTAAAAAGAAGGTTTGTACAAACAAGATTTTTTTGGTTTTAATTTATTTTTTATTTTAATAGGTAATGCAGTTAGTTACATGGTTTAAAAATCAAGAAATATAAAGTGTATTGCACAAGCCAGATTAATAAAAATTTAAAAGCATGAGAATGCATTCTGTTGTGAGACTGTGGAAAGGCATGCACTTTCATACATTACTGGTACACCCTTTTGGAGAGGAATTTGACAATGTCTAATAAAACTATATATACATTTACCTTTTGACCTAATTATTCCACTTCTAGGAATTTACCCTGAAGATACACTTACGACAATAGAAAAATATACATGTACAGGGTTATTCATTGCAGCACTGTTTATAATTGTGAAATATTAGAAACAACTTAAATGCCCATAAATAGAATGGTGATGAATAAATCATGCTACATCCACAGAGAATTATGCAGCTATTAAAAAAAGAATAAGAAAAATCTTTATGAGCTGATATAGAGTGACATCCATAATACACGGTTAAGAGAAAACAGCAAAATGCAAAAGAGTAGCTATAGTATTTTGCCATGCGTGTAAGGAAAAGTAAAGGGAAATATAAGGAAATATACATATATCTGCCAGCTTTAGCAAAAAGTTACATAGAAAGGATAAACTAGAAACGAATGAAATTGGGAAACTACAGGGGTAGGAATAGAATGGAAGGAATGGAGGAAAAGGAACAGGTAAAATGGATGAGTGGGATTATCTCTAAGTTTATATTCACACACAGTTCTGATTTTTAGAACAATGACATTGTTTCACATACACAAAACACAAATAAATGTTAAAAATTAAGCAAGACTTGGAGAAAGTCATAATGGAAATATAAACAGCAACAAATGAGCCTAATTCTATTAGAAATGAATAACATAACCCTATTTAAGGAGATAAAGAAAAAAAAGAACTAATCCAAGTCATTGTGGATAACAACATTTTTAATATACGTATTTTAACTCTAAAGACAAAAGAGGGGCGCCTGGATGGCTCACTCCGTTAAGCGTCTGACTTTGGCTCAGGTCATGATCTCATGATCTCATGATCTGTGAGTTCGAGCCCCGCGTTGGGCTCTGTGCTGACAGATCAGACCCTGGAGCCTGCTTCGGATTCTGTGTCTCCTTCTCTCTCTGCCCCTCCCCCACTTGTGCCCTGTCTCTGTCTCTCAAAAGTAAATAAATGTAAAAGAAAAATCTTTTTTTTTTCAACGTTTACTTATTTTGGGGACAGAGAGAGACAGAGCATGAACAGGGGAGGGGCAGAGAGAGAGGGAGACACAGAATCGGAAACAGGCTCCAGGCTCTGAGCCATCAGCCCAGAGCCCGATGCGGGGCTCGAACTCACGGACCGCGAGATCGTGACCTGGCTGAAGTCGGACGCTTAACCGACTGCGCCACCCAGGCGCCCCAAGAAAAATCTTTTAAAGACAAAAGAAACTGATAGAAGTACTATACCCTAATTAATAAATTATTCTGAAACTGTATCTATTCTAGGATTGAGCAAATAAATACACTGTGGTATCTATCTCACTTTTAGAAAAAGGATTTACAAATAATGGAAGGGGGAAGGCTAGAATGGATTCAGTGGTGATGGACTAGAACTGGAGATGTTGGTATGAATCACGGTTTTTATTATACAGTGAGATGAGGAAAGAGAGAGAATGTGTTTCTCTGTGATGCCTATTAATAGGGTCTAGAAGCAATGACACCTGAGTAGTAATGAACACATCTAGCCTCCAGATCTTGGTTTCTAAAGACATAAATAAAAGGAACCAAGACTCGTTGGAAAAATGGCTGATTCCAGGGCTGGAGCAGAGAAAATTCTGTCTGGGTATGGGACATTTAATGGAACCAGAAAATATGGAAGTGTTCATAGAGATAACACACACACACACACACACACACACACACACACACACATTGCACAAAACCTAAATTAAATGAAATAAAGAAGTAAAATATATGAAATTTTTAAAAAATCACTGGTGGCAAGGGAAAATATGGAGAAAAATACCTGAAATATTCAAATTAGATGCCTAAAATTAATTAATTTAGCCTTTGATTTTTAAATTTTACTTTGTCTAGGTACACATATCCAGCTTCCCCACTCACTTATTAATGAGTATTTAGAATAAAAATATAAGCTATAATTTATATCACGTGTTCTAATACCATAAGCAGGACAAAGGAAACATTCCATGCACTTGATCATTTTAATCCTCTTCTCTTTGTCTATTATGATCATTACAAAGAAAGGTTAAATACTGCATACTTCAATGCTGTTCTCAAGAATAATTTCCAAAACTAAAAGTAAGGTCCAGTTTTATGTCTTAGGAACTTACAGTAGAGATTGATAAATAACTATAGACAGCATTCCTTTGCCCTCCCTGGGTTGCCCTGGAGATCGGCGGGGAGGGGGGATGTAATTCTGGTTGTCAACATCAGCTTCAGGTGGATGCTTTTTGTTTTATGTGAAAGTCGACTATTCTTCAGAGAATTGCATTAGCACATATTCACGCTAATGGTGGGTATTCTAACAACTAGTCAGTCACTGCCTGAGTCAGCTCTTCTAAAGTTGCTCTGAATGTTATTTTAATCTTCTATTTACCTTTCCATCCATTTATTGTGTCTCTCTACTAGTGAATCCAACACACCTGAATTTAACTCAAAATTCCTTCCTTTGCACTTCCTAAAGCATGTATCATGGTATTTGTTTCAAAGAGATACAGTTTGAGTATGAGACTGTTCGTTACCTTGCAACTTTGAATCGTGCTTTCCG